AGGCACTGGGCAGTGGGCGTTCTGCGGGAATGGTGGACGTACCCGCCAGTTGCAAGCAGGTCTGGCTAGTAGCTACCAGTAGCTCGTGTCCTAGTTGGGCAGGTGTGGCCGAACGACGGGAGGGTGGCCTTCGACAGTGTGCTCAGTGGCCTGGGCTGGGGGCAATTATGGTGACCTTGTGTAAACAAAAGAGAGGGGTAGTGACCTAGTGTGTGGGCAGGGTGGGGTACCATGTGGGGTGGGTGCGGTACTATGTGTACGGTGGCCCGGTGCGTGGGGTACTATGTTGGCAACTTGGCAACTTGGCAGGGTGTGGCATTTGTGCGGGCACGCCGGCACGGGCTCGGGGGTGGTACCGCGGGACTATGTGGGCTGGGTGGTGTGCTATGTGGGCTGAAGGTTTGTCCATGATACTCAATATTAGTTTTGTGACTTTGTCGAGCGTTTGTAAATTTTATTATTATTTTTTTTTTAATGCTTTGTCGGTTACCTTTTGTCTTTCATTACCCATTGTACAATTTTTTTTATTTTTTTTTTTTGCAAAATCATCCACCATTGTACAATTTGTACTCCACATGGTTTGGATTTTTATTTTATTAATTTTTTATTTTGTAGCTTTACCGAAATTATCGGTAACCTTTTCTCTTTCATTAGCCATTCTACTACAGTAACTCCACACACCTTGGAAATAGATATACATTTTACAACCGCAAATATCCCCACTTCAACCATCCATGTCGATTTTTCCAGAGGCCTAAGTGAGAAGCATTTCAACCTTTTTGAGGGGTTGTTTCAACTTGGTTGAGGCGGAAAATTTCAATGGATGATAAAAAAAGCGAGAAAACACACACCCACCACGGTCCACGGGCAACCTGCCAACCGCCAGACAGTACATTTTGAAGAATGCGAAAATTTCTAGATTCGAAATAAATTTCACTCTTCGAAGACAAATCAAATTGCCGAGGGTGGAAAAAAAAAAAAAAAAAAAAAAAAAAAAAAAAAAA